TAAAACATTTGACAAAAACTCTTAAAAACAATTTTTTATGCATGAAGTACTATATATTGATGCATATTACTTAAAACTCAAGATTACAAGTAAATTATGCATAAGTACAACTTATTAAAGTTTGATGTTTGAATTTGTGTAACTAGCTGCGGATAAACATAATCAAATAGAGGATAAACATCTCATTTTAAAATATAAAAAATAATTAGGATACTTATCGAGTTCTAACAAAATAATTAACTATTATCTTTATAGAAAAATTATATTACTAAACCAAATATAAATTACTTCGTTATTAAACTTAAATAAAATTATAATTAAAAAAATTGAATTAAAAACTTACACAAAAAATGAGGAATTTTAAATAGTTAATTTGATACTAATATCGATATAATTTTGTCAAATTTTTATAATATCTTCAAATTTAGATTTTGTTCAAAAATAAAAACAGCATCGCTTTTTCAAAATCACATAAAACCATATTATAACATCGATTAAGATAAAAAATTAAATGAAATATTAAGATCAAGATGTATGTTGCTGTATTGCGCAAGTACCATGATAATATATATTAAAATAGAGTAATAAAAATTAAAAATTTAAAAAAATTCCATCCAACTTCGATAGAGATTATGATTTAAAATAATCTAAAATTAATTATATTATTAATGTATTCGGTATATTTAATAAAACATTATTTCTTTCTTTTAAACATATAATTTTAATATCTCATCTCTCTCTTAAATATTGAGTTTAGAGGTTTATTTAAATTTGAAGATTTCCATCTTCTTTTTTTTTTCTCTCTCTCTATTTTAACATTTATTGTAACATACATTGTTGACGTTGAGCAGAAAAAGACAATTTGACAAACTTTTTTGATTTACAATATTAATTTTATATAATCTCATACAATTTCAAAGTTTTCATCGCAAACATTTATCATTAATGATAAGGCAACACGAGGACTGAGGTTAAATTCCTATATGAAGAAATAAGTTTTTTTTATTTTTTATTTTTATTTTTTTTTTGTGTTTCAAAGTAACACATATTCTAAGATACTTCTTATTTTTGTTTCATTTTTTTTATTGCATGTTCTTCATGAATAACTTTAGCAGCACAAAATACATGTAAAATTGTGATCGATCGGTTTTCCATTGATCATTCGTATATTCAATATATGAATGTAATTTATAACTCTTATTTGAACTTCATTTACAATTTGTTTGTGTGGGTGTGTTTTTCTTCCTTTTAGAGTGTAATTCTCAGTTATATGTTCGTGTTTCTCTTATTTATTTATTTATTTATTTATTTTCATTTAGAGCCATTGAGGATACAAG